ATGGATACTCGAGGAAATCACATTCTCCAGTCTAGGGCCACTAGGGAATAGCCACTCACAGACAGCTGTCTGCAGCAGCAGTTCTGGAAGCAGGAGGAGGCTCGAGCACGGGTCATAGGCATACAGATGGTGGCCCCGTCATCGGGAATCCCTGGGGGTCAGAACCCTCACCCGGTGTCCACAGCCAGGCTCTCCCATGGCACACGTGATCTCTGGACTTCACACCATCACAGTTCCACCTCGGCCTTGCTGAGACTGGCTTCCTGCCCACTCTCCGCCTCCACGTCCACCCACAGGGCCCCCAGCTGAGCTCTGCCAGACACTCAAGGGAGAACAATTTCCAGATTATGCAACTACCTCCAAAGAACAGGGACACCGGGGCCCTGCCCATCACTTTTCACGGGGCCAGCATAACCTTGACACCAAAGCTTGACAAGGACACATGAAAAGGAGATCAGCAGGGAAGTTCACCCATGAACTACTATTAAAATCCTAAACAAAGAACCTACCAGATACAATCTGGTGATACAGATGCCACAGGATAATGCAAGCTGGATGTATTCTAGAAATGCAAAAATCAGGGTCACGATCAGGTTAACAGATTGAAAAAAAAGTCATGTGATCATCTAGGCAGATGCAGAAATGTCATCTGTTAAAATTCTACCATTTATCACTAAACAGAAAAATACTCAGCATGCTGGGAACAGAAAGAACATCCTTCTCTGACGGTTACCTACCAAAAACCTAGAATAAAATTAGTCTTAATAATCAAATGTGAACAATCTTCCATACGAGGAGTAGTGGAAGGTGAGATGCTCACAATCACCTCTTCAGTTCACCACTGTTCTGAGGTTTTGGTAGGTTAATAACACGAGGATAAATGAAGGAGCAAAAGAATCAGGATGGAAAAATCAAAACTGTTATTTGCACTTCTTACAACTGTGTCTGTAGTTTTGTCATAAGAATCGACAAACACATTTTTTAACAAATACATTTTTAAAAGAGATTTTTGGCAAAGTTTATGAAACCAAAATAGATATGCAAACATTTTTCCAACAAATAACCATCAGAACATCAACTTAAAGCTGGCATGGTGCCACACATCCCACATCCCAGCACTCAGGAGGCTGAGGCAGGAGGATCAAGGCTAGCCTGGGCCACCTAGTGAGTTCAAAGCCAGCCTCATCTACATAGCAAACCCTGAGACTCAAAATTAATTTAAATATATATATGTATAAATATACAAATACACACACACATGTACAACAGCATATAAAATATCTAGGAATATATCTAACAACAGTCGGGTCAGGGATTTAGCTTGGTGGCATAAGCACCTGCCTGGCAAGCATGAGGTCATGAGTTCGATCCCTGGTACAAAAAAAAAAAAAAAAAAAAAAAAAAAGATGTTACAGTCATTAGAGGGGCTAGGGATTTAGCTCAGCGGCATAAGTGCCCGCCTTGCAAGCAGGCAGTTGTGAGTTCGATCCCTGGTACCAATAAAAACGAAAAAGACAAAAAAAAAAAAACAAAAAAAAAACCCCAAGATGTTACAGTCATTAGATACACCTTAAATCATCCAGATACTATGTTCTTGGAAGTCTAAATACTATACCTCCCATCCTGTAGAGGGCGAAAGAGAGCTCATGGCAATAACCAGGACTTGGAAATCACTGCAACCTGGCTTCACAAACCACCTTCTGCTGCTTCTGAACTCTGTGGTTCTGCATATCCTACCAACCTATCTAAGCCTCGCTTTCCTTACCCATAAAATGAAAATAGTGATTTCTGCCTGGTGTTGGGGAATGAATGGTTATGGAAACACTTTGTAGAGTGCTGAATAAATACCGGGCACTCTTATGACTGGTGCTACTATCTTCTTTTGAGTCTGAAGGTAGAAAAAAGTTATGTCTCCCAGATTGGGCCAGCTGTGTCCTTGTTGCCACCCATCTATTTGTCCTTGAGGACAATGCTTTATCCTGGGTAGAACCTGTCAGCATTCAGTTTACACAGCAACCCATAAGGCAAGTACGATGTTGGCCCCACTTAAAAGATGGGAAAGCTGCAGCTCAGTTGAGTAATTTAGTTTTCAGACAGTCCCTCATGTAGAGACCTCTGTGGGTCCCCCACCCCAGGTGGCAGGGTCTTGGAATAAGATATACCTGGTTCCTGCTCTCAGTTGGGAAGGCAGCCAAACATCATCTCTCCACTAACAAGCTGGCAGAACCAAGATTCAAATGCAGGTGTGCTAGAAACCAGAGTCTACACCTTCAACTCATCCCAGGAGGAGATTTCCCCAACCCCTTCTGCACCAACAGCTGCTGGGAAGCAGCGATTTCTAACACACATTCTGCAGGCAGCAACAAGTTTGGAGGGAGCATGCAGGGCATGCTGCAGCATGGGCGGGCACTGCCTGCCTCCGTCCTGGCCCTGTGACACCCATAGGACCATAGGACGGAGGGAGGACTACGGGGCAGGTGGGGTGTGTGTGTGTGTGTGTGTGTGTGTGTCTCACATCCTGTTCCCCACACACATATCAGTGGCATTGTTCGCAAAGAATATGAACCCGAGTCCCCTGCCACCATTAATGGCAAAAGTGAGTCACTTATAAATAAGATAGGGGCGCTTTATTCTAATTACATCCTGAGATTCTGAAACACTCCTGGGCTTTGTGAGACAAAGGGCAGCAGGTGACCAGGGCTTGAATGATCTTCTGCCAGGTATGGCTTTCAGATAAAGCATCTTGGATCAGGAGCAATTACAGCTCATGCCTGGTCTGAATGATAATGAGAATCACTTACAATCACATGCAATTCTTTGCCATTTATGTGATCTGCCCCTCCTTTTTTTCTCTGCCTGTCCATCTTGCCTTAATCCTGAGAAGCAGACACAGCTATGATTAATGGCCATTTTGCAGATGAGCAAATGGGAGCCCACAGTCACTCCATTCTTGCAAGTAGGGAAGAAAAAAAGATGCAGAACTCAGGATGCATCTTCCTCAGCTGAAAACTGAACAAATCCCTCCAGCCACTGGCAGATCCAAGTGGCATCAGGCTGGTGAGTCCTGTTGGGAAAGCTGTGAGGACATCTTTCAAAATGTATTTCAGACCTGTCACCTTTGAGTCCACAGGCATCAAGGCACCCCGGCTGGGAGCCAGGAAGTCTTTTTTCCACTGCACACCACAGAATTTCACAGAAGCCTATCTTGGCCTTCTGGACTGCTCTTCTAACATTCAGAAAACATCTCTTTGAAAATTGTCCCAAATCTGGCCCCCTTGGAACCAAGCCAGAGCTAGAAGTCTTCTCAGTAGCAGGAAGAAGGCTAGGGATGAGCATGGCACCACCCAGCTCTCCTGTGGCCTGGCAGAGCCTAGAAGCCCACACTGAGACTTCTGTTCTTGGGCTGTTTAAAGTCTGTGACCTCAGGAGCAGTTGGGACACATGACAGCTATCTAAATCTGTTCCACTTTGCAGGAGGGGTGCTGGACCTCAGTAGCACCAAAAACAGCAACCACCTGCAATGCACTTTTAAGTGTCACTTGCACTATATCAGCACCTTACACACATGAACATGCTCACATCCCTTGCCAGCCCAGTGAGGAAGATGCTATGAATGCCCCCATCCCACAAAGGGAAACAGAACAGGGATACAGCAACATACCCAAAGGCACAGAGCTCAGGTGACCCAAGTCATCCAGCTCCAGATCCCATCTGCTGGGTCCTCCTGCTCATGCAGAGAAAGAGCATACTTCCAAGCCAGGGTCACCTAGGTTTCTCTGGTCAGCAGCACCAGCCTCTGCCAGCTCTAAATCAGCGCTAAATCACAAAGCACCCTGCCTTCAGGATACTGCCACACCAGGTACCAGGTGTCCCTTGCTGTTCCCCCACCCCTTGCCTGGCGTGTGAAGGTCCCTCACAGCAGGACACCCTGCAGGCTGTCTAGGGGTCCCTGGGCCCACACTGCTCAGCAGGAGGACCAGGGACTCTCTAGGACAGATCTCCTGAAGACTTGCTGTCTGTCAATCTTCTGCATCCAGCCACAAGCACAAAGGATCTAAATTAAGGTCTCCTCAGCTGGCCCAGCCTCATGCTAATCCAAAACTCAGGCAAGACTGCTTTTCAAACCCCATCCCTGCCACAGCTGGATCCAGCTAGGCAAGCCCAGAAAGTCCCTGGCCTCCAGCGCCTGTCACCCACCTGCTGTGGGGGGAGGAAAGGTGCTCACCTTCCTGGGCCACTGCCGTGAGACGTGGGACAGTGCACAGGGCTCTCTGCTTCCTTCCTCCCCGCCTCAGCCTCCAGGAACACAGCCAGGAGGGGGCCCTCCACCTAAATCCCTCTCCCTGACGCCGCACCCCACTTTTGCCCCACAACCAGCCCCCGGCACGGCACCAGCTCCCGAAGTCTCTTTCCCTCGGCTCAGGCTACGCGGGGTCCACGTGGCCTCGGACTCAGCCGGCACCTCGGGCGCCGGGTGGGCAGAGGGGGCCCCTGCTTGGGGATGACGACCTTGCCCGCACGCCCTCACCGCCCGGACCCCGGGACAGGCCAGAGGGTAGGGGACATGGCCGGGGGCCGGAGCCTGGTCGGCCCAGGGAGAAGCTGCGGCCAAGCCTTGCTGAGCGGGCCGAGCTGTTCTCGGCTCCTCTCGGTTCTGGTGGGGAATCAGACGCTTTCGCCCGGGTCCCGGGCCGGGCAGCGCCCGCGAGCGGACGCCGAGCGAGCGCGGTACCAACCTGGCTCCGGCCCCGGCAGCGCTCCCGGCGCCCGAGTCTCCGTTTCCTCCTATGGACGCGGGCGAGCGGACCCGGCGGGAGTCGGTCGGTCGGCGAGAGACCCTGACCCCGCCACAGGTGTCCGTGCCCGATCTGGCCGCCGCCGCGTGGCGGGCGCGCGCTCCTCGTCGCCAGAGCAGGGTCCCCTGCGCGCCGCGGAGATCCGCGCTCCACGGTCCCGCCCGCCCGCCCGCCCGCCAGTATCCGGGTCCGCGCCCGACTCACCGCGCCGGCTCCAGGGAAAGTTTGGTGCGGGTGCTCTGTGCTCGGTGCTTAGTGCTAGGAGCGCCGTGCCGGGTGCGCGGCGCGTGGTGCGTGCGGGGAGCGGGGGGTGGGGCGCGGGAGGCGGAGCCCAGGGCGGAGCGGGGCGGAGGCGGCCGGAGCCTGGCGCCCCGCACCCTGCTCCCCGCCGGGTTTCGGCCCAGTCCTCTCCGGAGCGGAGGGAGGCGGGTGCTGCGGTGCTGCGGGGACCAGAAGACAAGACTGGTAGAGTCCGCGCAGGCTGACAAGAGTCGGCGGTGGCCAGAGGGCGCAGGGTTCCACTGGAAGCTTCGTGGGCGCCACAGCCCGCGGGCCCAGAATTCTGCACCCCCTCCTGTTTCTGCCTGGCCACTCCTGCGTAATGGGGATCCCTACGCACTCCCGGTCCAAGTTTGAGTTTCAAAAACGCGATGTCTGGTGTATGCCAAGTGCCACTTGGGGATGGGAGTGGGGCGTGTGCAGCAGGACCCTGGGAAGGGACCTCTGCCCCCCTCAAAGATGGAGGATTCTTCTAGCGTGTTCCCAGAGCCAGGACAAAGGTGGTGTTTTGCTATTTCTCACAGCAAGAAAACCCTTGTGTGACCCTCTAAACCGTGAAGCCTCACATGGTTCCCCAGCACTTAAGGAAGGGCATCCAAGTTCAGAAGGAGGAAGGTTCAGTGGCGTGGGGTGGGCATTTGGGGCACTTAACCTCCCCCCACTACCTGTGTGCAGTGCTTGTGGGGTCACACAGTGGCCAAATGGCTGCTTGGTGGAAAGTGAGGCCTTGCCAGTCCTCGAGGTCCATGCTTGTGGGATGGGGGTTCATAAAAACACCACCAAACTACAGGAGCTTACTTGCTTAGTCCTCGCATCTCCCTGTGTGACAGGGAGAATCATTAACGCTATTCTGCAGATGAGACAACCAGGCACAGCACAGCGAGGTTCTATGCAGGAGACCTGAGAACCAGGCCAAGAAACCTTCCAGAGGTCCAACATCACACCATAAACCACTTTCTTTGGTCACACTGCCAGGAAGTTTCATGATTTTATCCACACAAATGCTCATTATCTTCCCAGATGGTCCCTGCTAGACAGCCTTTCTGCAGGACACGTCAGAGGGCCATTAGCAATGCCCGGAACCTGACTGCAGCCAGGAGAGCTGGCAGCTGCTTTGCATTGCTAGGCACCAACTCTAACTGCTGTAGTCGGAGAAGTCCAGGATCCCTTCTGCCCCCACCTTTGCTTCTGCTCAGCAAAACCCAGGATCCAGGGCTCATCCCAGTCCAGAGCATCCTTCCATTCACTCCCTGCTACTCTCCAGGGCTCCGTGTTTTACAGTTTCCTGGAGCGTGTGCCCTTTCCAACACAGCGGTTGGGTCACACCTGCTAGAAACTACAGGAAAGATTTTCCTGCCACAGCTGTGGGATGTCTAGTGGGATGAAGGGATCCTCCAGACAGCTGGCTTTATTTGTACCCTACCTCATTTCCTTCCCGCAACACAGCAAAGGATGGATTACTTGGGATTCCTCCTTGAAGTTTCACTTCCCGGGCCAGATTTAGACCTGCTAAACCCAGCATTTTTAGAAAAATCAGCATTTTAGGAAGAGCATGAGAAACATTATTTGAAGCCCCCAGTGACCAGGGTGTGTATTGTTTGATTGTGGCATCTGGAGTGGACAACTGTGAAGGAACCCAGCTATACGTGGTGGTGGTGGTGGTAGGGTACAACCAGCTAACATGTCTGCAGAAGAAAAAGAACAGCTCTGGGCCAGGGATTTAGCTCAGGGGCTTAGGTGCCTGCCTGGCAAGTATGAGGTCATGAGTTCAATCCTTGGTAAAAAAAAAAAAAAAAAAAACAGCATCTCTGTCCCGAAAACACTGCATGATGTGCCACACTGGGCCTACTTCCTAAAATTTTCAACTCAAGATTTCTTGTGGTCCAAAGATGGGTTTGTGCTGGGCTCATCCTGTCTACAGTTAGAGAATTCCCACCAATGTTCTTGACATGACCAGCACTGTAGTTTTCATCTTACGTGCAGATGTAGAAACCCACTGCCTGAGGTCAGACAGAAAGCCAGGCTTTGGTACTGAGTGTCATCTTCAGACTTTTAAAAAATTTATTTTGAGACAGAGTCCTCCCAAGGTGCTAAATTGTCCAGGCTGGGTCGTGCTTGAGACTGTCTTGCTTCAGTCTTCCAGAGTGCTGGGATGACAGGTATGCACTACTATGTCTGGCTTAGTGGTGATTCCTTTGGTTTCAGGTAACAAGAACCTAATGATTTCATCCAAAAGGGTTCCTGAGCTAAAGGCAGGTCTGGATTCAACACAGTCCATTCGTGAGGCTTAGAGGAAGTTGTCATAAATCTGTTGCCCACTGTCCCTTGACTGTTTTCTCTGGTACCCATTTTATCACCAGGCTGAGTCACTTCACAGGAAGGTAGGAGTGGTAGAGGCATAAAAAGATCACCTCCTTCCCAACATTTCAAGTAGGAATCTCAGGCTGACTGCCATTGGCCAAGCCTAGGTCACATGCCCATCTCAAACAATTGTGGCCTCCCTGGCCACACCTAAGTCAGATGACTAGACCTGGACTAGGGGATGACTCCAGGCACTGAAATCACTGGGACTAGGGATGAGTAAGGGATGATTCCTTAAAGGAAACTAGGTGCCTGTGGTGGGGTCAGTGGTGCTGGTACTGGGCAGGCAGGAGCACTGCCATCCTTTCCCTGAGGGGCTCTTGGTCAGGTTAGACAAACTTCCCTATGCAAAGTGCTTGGCCCCAGTAGCTGCTTGCTAACTGAGGCCCTTCCCTTCCTTCCTCCTCTGGAAAACAGGAATCACACCAAAGCCAGGACAATTGCTTCCTTGTTCACATGGGGAAACTGAGGAAGGCACAGACATGAGCAGGGACTTGCCAAGTTGTCCCAGCTGATGAGCCACAGAAGCCATGTCCGTCTGTGAAACAACCCCTCGGAAAGGGTGTGCTGGTAACTTTCAGTTCCCCACTGACCAACGGTCTTGTCTTTGCTCAGGGGACACAGGCATCATGAAGCCCTGGAGACTAATAGGAAATAACTCTCACTTATGCTAGGTTCCTGAGCTGTGCTGCAGCAGGGGACTGGCAAGTCTGGGCATCGAGCCTGGGCAGCACCCCACCCAGCTCAGCACCAAATCAGCCATCCTTCTGGGGCTGACAGGCCATTGCTTTTGCAGCTGTCCAAAGTGGCAAGGTGGCTCTTCTCTCATGCTGTTTCTGGCTCAGTTAGTGAGAGAAGTGTGAACCTCAGGATCAAAGTGGACTACAGAACCACCAGGCCACTCACAGTCCTCAAAATAGGCCATTTCAAGTTGGCCCTCAGTTCAAAGGTTCTGGCCTTGGGTGGTTACTCTGACCTCTCCACTAGAAAGCTGGCTGCCTACATCCTGTGAGGCTCTCTGTCCATCTGTCCACCTATCTGTGGTGTCAGGGCCTTGTACACACTAGGCCTGAGCCTCACTCCAGGCCCAGGCTGTTTAAAGGAAGGTAAATAAGAATGTCGGAATCAAGGTAGAATGACACCAGCAGGCCACTCGGTCTCCTCTTACTAAGGCACAATTTTGGAGTGCAGATTGAGAAATTGTTTTGAAGGAAGTCTGGAACTGGATATGGAGAGCTTCAAAATGTTGAGTTCCATACTTTAATACTATTTCCTGAAAAAAATGACCAGGGACATCACCAAGTTGTGCATAACGATGCTGAGTGCAGTTTTACGTACAATAGTAAAAGACTTTCAAAAATTCTGAATGCTCAACTGGAGGGCACCAGCTTGAGAAATTATAGTACAGTATGTTAGTGGAATTGACCATGAAATGGTGTTAAGATCAGGTAAGAGAACCCAGAATTTTGTGAAAACCAATCACAGGGTGATAGATCACTTGCAAAGCAAGTTACAAAAGCAGTATGTCTGGACCCCTTCAGTGAGAACTGTACCTCGCTGTGTATAAAAATGCAAAGAAAGAGAATGTTTTGTGGGCCTTTTATTGGCTCTTGCTCGTTTTTACTCATCTGTATTTTCTAACTTTTTTTTGGTAAATTCATTTCACTTTGGTAATTAGAACAAAATGACCAATAATTTTTATAAAAGGATTTGGACTTGGCTTCATTTTAGAAAAGCACTCTCATTTATTAAAAGATCACAACCAGAAGCGAGATTAAATTGATTTCTCTCTTTTTCTCCTCTCTCTGTCTTTTTCTGTCTCCTCTGTCTCTCTCTGTCGCTGTCCTTTTTCTCTCTCTCTCTCCCTCCTTGGTGACTGAGAGGATGAGGATGCTAGAGCAGGGAGCAGCTGTGATAGGCACCAGGAGAAGGTGAGGCAGTAGGCAGAATCTATTTGCTATGTGACCCTAAGCAGAGCAGTGTTTCTGGGCTTCTGCTTGCTACCATATTAAGAACATCAAATATTGGCTCCATTATCTCTGGTATTTTTGGTTTTCGTCTTTTTTGAGACAGGGTCTCACTATGCAGTTCAGACTGGCCTTGAACTCACCTTGTAGCCTAGGCTGGCTTCGAACTCACAGCGATCCTCTGGCCTTAGCCTCCTAAGTGCTAGGATTAAAAGTATATGGCCCCACACCCAACGCTCCATTATCTCTGGAGTTCTTCACATGACCAAAATTCTACATGTGGAGATCTTTGAGCTTCAGTAAATACTTGGGGAAGCTGAAACGTGCCCAGCAAGAAGTCTCATCTCTGTGACCCTGTGGGATGCTGAGAGTTTTGCCTGTGTCCGAAGGCTCTGAGCTCCCCTTTCTCTGGAGGACCCAGCCTCGCCATCCAGCTGCATGAGAACTGGTGGCCCCAGGAGAAGCCCACTGATCTCAAGCACCCTTTGGGGTCCCTCATCCTTAGGGATATTGACCTCTTGAGTGTTGACTCACCAGAGAGCACTGTGAGGCCATCTTCCAGGTTTTCTGAGCTTCTGAAGCAGTTTTGTCCAGGGTTTCCTGTGGTTTGAGAGTACTGGTCTCACTTCTCAGAGGCAGAAGCTCAAGCTCCTCACACAGCACGAAGGATGACCTGTGTAATGGGCTCCATTTATATGCA